TTATTATTATTTCTGCCTGGATTACTGAGATGCATCAGGACATTTAACCAGCATTATTTCTGCTGAGTATTTTCTAAAAGAAAGACTTTGAAAAACAGCTTTTTATTTGTATAATGAGGAATAAAATGCCTACAGAAAAAACAGTTTTTTTTAAAGAGACACTCTACTTCCCTGTTTGGATGGTTTTAGTTTCTCAGTCCGTTCATGTAGCCCAGCTCTGTGCAGCTCATAGTGACTTTAAGGTGAAAGTTTTTGTGTTTTTTGCCCTCTGGGTTGTCTGTCAGGTTAATGCCATCCTTGGCTGCTCTGTGAGTTTTAGTAAACAACTCTGTCTCAGCTTACTGCATCAGCTTTTCATTTGTGGCATTTTCAGGGGTTAAGATGTTGATTCTGTAGGAACAGGTGTAGATGAACTGAGACTATCTGACTTACTGTAACTGCCCCTCAGATAGATATTATTTATTACTGTGTGTGTCTTCTGAAGACAAAAGGGGAATAAACACGTATGAATGCAACGTTTTTGATTTTATGCTTTTTGAATTATCACCCCCCCCCATTTACATTGTTAAACTGGATCATATTTATGTTTATTTTGTGGTTATTTTGTTGACTTGTGGTCAAATTAAAATTGTATTTAAAATTGTGAGACACCAGAATAGAAAGGATGAATAACACACTGTAACTGTTTACTGCTGTTGTGTGTTTGTTTGCATCATAAGTCAAGGAAACAGGTCTTTTAAAAAGAAAACCTACAGCAATCAGCCTGTTACTTTTAGATCACACAATCAGATACACAATTTGTTTGTTTGTTTTTTTTTCTCAGTAAGAGGAAGAAGATTTCCTAGAAGTTGAGCTGTAAACCATGTGATAATTCTAACAGACGTGCTGGACTGGTTATCTTGAAACATGTTAGAAACAAATAATCAACTTATTGTGTTTGATAAATAACATGACTAATCACAAAAACATCAGAAAGTCCCAACATTACTTGAAGGGATGAACATTGCTCAAAGTTTTAAAATAAGATCACATTGTGTTGAGAAAACCTTTCTAATAGATTGTCCTGTGAGATCTCACAAGATGTGTTAAAGCGAAGTGCATCTCTCGGTCTCAGCTCCCACACTAAACTTTAGCTCAGATTCTGTTAAACTGACTGACAGAACACCATTGTGTGCATTTTTAAGGCTGCTTATTTGTGGTGGTCACTTTGAAAATGTGTAACTCTAAAAGTGAGTCAGTTGTAAATGTGTGTCTGGTGATTCAGCCTCAATTTTAATGAAGTTATGGTGTTGTGCAAAACATAGATAAAAACAGAATGTGATGATTTACACCAAAATAAAACACACTTGATTTGATTTGATTTATTGATTTAACAGGAAAAGATTACTAAAAATCAAGCCTGACTCAGCATAACTGCTG